CGTTACATGCGATTTCAAGCTGACCGTTTTCCTATATCTTGGGCCAAAATAATATGGTCGGGAACACGCCGATGGAAAGGGATGCCTGATTCGGCCGCTTACGGAAGGCGGCGCGGGAATGGCAATAACAACAAATAGTTTAGCTGGAAGCGGTGATGTGGCAAGCAAAACAGGTTGATAAGTCATCGCAGAGGAGGATCTTTAATATTGGCCAGTTACCCAGTCGCGTATTGCGTTTTACATTTTGGGTGCGCTTGACTATCGATCCCTGATTGAATAGCTTTTCATATTCGATGTTTTCGTTGTCTGATTACGTCAGTTTCTCTTTTCGTTTGCCAGACGCATTGCCGATAATCCCCAGGGGTTAATGGAGCAGTAACCGAAATTAATCATTCAGAGACGGCTGATGGTTCAACAAAACCCTGCAAGCGAGGGTGAATGTGATAATGTGGGTAGGACAGTGGCATTAAGGGTCATTCTAGAAATATTAACGACGACGGGTTAGCGACTCGAAACAGGAAGCACTCCAACTTATTCGCGTTTCTTATGAGGCGAAATCAACACCTCTGATTCCGTGCACTCAACCGTCTAGAACGTGTGGATTTTGTCTTCTGAGGCGTTTTGGTCAATGTGATAGGTTCACCACCAGCACACATTTTGAACTCCAAAATCCCTGAATACTGATATGGAAAATCACCATTGTAGCACAAAACCTGCGATGCGACAGACTTGAGGATTTCACTAGATCAGAAACTCTATGCGTGACCACGGAAAGTCACGTGGCTGGCTTCATGTCGCAACCCGTTGGCAAATTAATCTAATGTCAATTGAAAAACAAGCCGGTCTTTGTGCAACGCATTCAGTAGGAAATTTTTAAAGATAGAAGGTCAGCCGCAATCACCGGCATGGATTGTTAGAAACAAGTTGTTTTCCGGATGAGTATGGAGCTCCCATTACGGGAAATTCAGGGTTCAACCAAGATATGAAGTAGATGGTAGCCCGAAGACCACGCCTACTTGACGAGCCTGACGGGCTGTCAGGCTGCTTTTAGCAACATTGTGATTAGTGTTTAATTCAATTTAAAACAATGAATAAGACAAATAATACGAACACAATCGCCATTTGAGAAAAAAATTTGAAAAAATTCCAAAGTAGGTCTTCACATGCATCTACGCGAAGAATATGATCGATAAAAAGGCACACTAAAAAGTTCAACATTACGGAGGAAGCAAAATATTGGCGGAGACTGAACAGTATTCACAGATGCAACAAAATGTGTCACAAAGCTGTTGCTTACAGAATTCCCGGAACAAGTAGACACTGGGTGATGCTACAGCAAACCACAATTTACCGATCATCGGCCATGTCGATTTACTCATTTGCTTAACTGATCGGGATTATTCTGTGTTAAAGGTGTAATTTCTCCCTAATTTTGTCTTCAAACTTTATCATCTTCAAGCCTGTCAAGTGCCTTTTAGGTTTCTCCACGAATTCGCCGATAAGGGTGATCTAGAATTATTCCCATCAAGCCATTTGCAGGGTTGATCGGGATGCTGCGTTAAAGATATGAATCACGACGCCAAACCCACAAATGGTTCGTTGTATTAGTATATTCACTTGTCGATTGATAACTCGGGAAAAACCGCACAACGGATGGATTTGAAACACGTGGAAGTGTGTGATCGTTAAATGAAAATAAAGAAATTAAAGCTTACACGAAATGGCCGGTCCACTTTCCCAATTATTCATTGTTATGGACCTGACTCGCATGCACTGCTCACCCCGAAAGAACATGCTTAATGTTGCAAGTGAGGTACACTCATTTGCAAACCAATTTGGTTCTTCGAGGGACCTACCTGGAACCCAGCTGAATCTCTCGTTTCTGATGTTTCCAAGCAAGTGGTTGTAAGTGGTTTGTAGCGCGGTTCAAGTCTCCCCTGGACATCTCCGAATTATGAAATCGGACGGGGTAGGCAAAGTATCTTCGGTGATTTTAACGTGATTCGTCTGTATCCAGGTTTTACTGCTCATCCCATTGTTAGGTTCTGAGGTAGGAAGCTAGATTAGCTTCGATACTGATAGGTATTTGCTACCACCTTGTTGACCATGATCTGAGAATCACGAGGTTTCACATGGAACCTGTCAAATTCGTCTTTGGGCTGACAAAGATGGTTTTCCATGTACAGTTAAATTAACCCCATAAACAAAACTTATATTATCCTTTTGGATAGTGATATCCACACCATTACTGCTCATAATGAATGGTTGCCCGTACTCTTTGGTCCTTGATTTGTGAATAAAACCTTCCATTAGCACTACAGAATGTTTCCAAGCGGTACGATGGCTATACCAAAAACAAAATGGTCATAAATATAGCATAATTCGTATGTCGTGCATTCACCTCATGCTCAAGTCCACGGTTTCGCTAGTTTCCGACGTTCATCTGGTCCTCAGAAATGAAAACTTCAGAAGTCGAATTCACATACTCCGACGTTCATCTGGTCCTCAGAAATGAATTCGAATTCACATACAAAAACCAGAACATGGTGAAACAAACAATAGACGCCTGTTCTCGGCTTATAGCTACACTGGGTAAGAAAGTAGCCACCAGCCTGAACTACAAATTGAAAAGCGCTGACAAGTAGTATTATAACCTAATTTTATATAATCAAACTGTGTGGAAAAAACACGACAACTGTTTTAATTTGGTGCACTTTGGAATTTTTCCCGACTTCCTATCCTCTCGTCGACCTTCTCACTCGCACTAGGTCTCAAGGACCTCCAGAGTCTCGTCCGACTCTTCCTCTGTTTAAAATAAACAGTTGGACAACATTTCATCTGAAAACGTCCATTTCAAAATGTTAACTAACAAAACGTTTTGGCACGCAAAAACTTCATTAAACTTCAATGCTTCACCGTTATCAAAACATCCATTTTAACACCGGAAAGCTTTCTGTCCTCTTGTTTGCTTTCACGGTGCATTTGGACCAGATGAAAGCAAATTTGTAAGCTCAGTAGGAGTGTCAAACAGCCAATCGTGCTCTAGTACCCAGCGACCACCGGTTGGCAAAATGAGTCAGAATTTCCAGAACGTTATCACCGCATTTGATGCATAAATGTCGCGTGTTATATGCGGTTTCGACCTGAATTTGCGGTCTGTACACGTCGTGGACCGTGTTTTTAAACGACAACGCTTTGTCGGGAGGTTTAGGCCGAGAACAAAGCTGAGAAAATACCTTTATTATATATATATTTGTTGTCTAGGCGCATTGACTGCTTCTTACACTAGGACATTGTCCGCACAACCAGCTGATGTGCTCTAAACATTTTCTCGCACATTTTTCAGTATAATACAAGGACACAGCCCCGTGCCCAAGGAGTGTAAACTCCATGGGATCTGCGTAGATTCCGAAGCATCGGGGAACTGCCTACAGGCGATGTTTGGTCTCTATCGACGACTGCATTAGATTTCTTGCATTGCAGGATCTTTTGACCTGACGCCATGGTTTTCCAAGGAATAAGTTACAGTTTTTATATAAAGTCCGACAGAGGTGTGGCAGTGCGACCGATAGTGCACATGAACATGCCAGATTGTACGCAACAAGTTGATTTTTCGACCGCCTGACAGTCATTCGCCAGCCGTATGTGTTCCCCAGAGTGACCGATTAGTTCTGATTCATCGAAATGTCAGCCCATCCAAGTCCTTGCTTTTTCCAGTAGGGTTGAACTAGTTAAGTGGAAATTGCTCGCTATTCTATCTATAGCTTTCCTTTTGCCACTGAGCAGTGAGAACTACACGGGGAAGGGTATTAGTTTTCTTGATTACGGTGCAGATTAATATGTCTAAAACTTTAGTCCCCACCGTTCCATCAAGGTATGCCAGAAACACGCAAGACTCAAAGAAGCAAGAGGTTAAATCGCTTTTATGGGACCTCCTTGGAACCAAGTTCGTTAAACGTGGATTGGATTTGTCCCGTTAGATTGCACAGGAATGCAAATTCACACTGAAAATAACCGCATTTGCACTGACTGTGCGGATAAACCTAATAGATGCTTTCGGCATCAAAACAACATTCGGGAAGACCGGAGGCCGTAAAGCAGTCGTCCAGAAACAAGCACGAATGGTTGCGGCCCAGTTTGCCATTTCTAACCAACAATGGTCAAAGCTCAGTTAATGAATTCAGCCAAGGTTTTCGACATGTGGCGATTAAGCGTTGTGTGAAAATCCCTGAGGATGCCTTCTAATCCATTCAGCGAAATGGGTGCATGTTGGTTGCCACCCCGGAGAGGCTCAGGAGGAAAGTCTGACTTTCGGATTCGTGGTGATGCGGCGTCGAAATTCGGAATTGATAATTCATCGAGTTTGTGTCTGGAGAGGACAAAATGATAACATGTGAGATCAGTGGACTCTATTGCACGGTAGCATCACACCCCCGATTTCGATGCTGTCAAAACAACGGTGGCAACAGCATCCATCCGTAGTCTGGAGACCACCGAGTCCGCCTTGCGCTGATGATTGAAAACTCAGTAGACACGTGATAACTAAGAGATTTCAAAAGAGAGTTAAGTGGTTATCCAGTGCTATTCGCATAATCCTGCTCAAATTGACTTTCCATTCAACTCACCGTCAGGATAAACATACTTGCCCCAGTCGCCCTCGTAAGTACACTCAGATTCCGGTCCATTTATTTTTCTAACGTAGAAAATATAATCAACATTGTGGCCAGCAGGTGAGTTTCCTTGATCCAACAGGATAAGTTCATATTCGCCCAAGACCACGCCGTCCACCTCCTTATCAGATTTGCTCACGAATGAGCAGCCCGAAACGGAAACTTGTCCTTTGTTGAAGCTTTTACCAACGAACTAGGTGAAAATAAATAAATCAGAGAGGGATTAAACCTTCCAAAAACGACAACCCCGCACTTTTGCTGATACCATGGCATAAACTATTCACACCCACCCACACACTGTAGAACTAGGGTCTCTCTAATTTGCTTTACACTGGGATACTCAAGTAATTTGAGAAACGCTTACTTGGTCACAAAGTCCCTCCTCAACTGGCGTCACGAGGAGCAGCTCTATCGAAGAAAGCAATTGAAATATTTGGTTACAATGCATTCGTTTTTCGAGTCCTGACACAACTGCCTACACTCGTGCCATGTACATATATAAAGCATACATGTATACCATATGTATACCACTTATATGTAGATGGGTACGCGTCTGGATACACCATACATGGGTAAGTAGATCTAAAGTAACGCAGCTTGAGACGGGCGCCGCCGGTGAACACTTACAGCCGTATCCATTCGTCAGAAAAGAAACTGTTTGGCTTCACGTCAGTCGTGGGAATTCATTCGTGCAATCATGCGTTACAGTACTGGAATCTTCTGGGAGACAAGGTCATTGTCAATTGGTTGAGTTGTAGTGAGAGGCTTAATTGGCAATTCCAGAAATTCTCCCTCACTAAGGTAAGTGTATAAAGTGTATCTGTTCAAACGCGCCGATCAACCGCTGGACCACACATGCACTCTCCAACCCAGTCAGTCAGTGTCCTATGAAACCCGGTCATCAGATGCTCTTCTGACAATCCTACGTCGGGAGTACTGTGACGGTGTCCAAATGTGTTCTCGACCATATGCACCATGAGTGCGTGCCTAGTCGGTTGGATCTTAGTCCATGGGCGAATAGGCAAAAATCCAGTCACGTGAGGGACGGTAATTGACCATTGACGCAGCGTAATGTGATATCGGCGTCCAATGACATGCAATGATCAAGGTCTAAACCAGAACGACAAGGGCGCATGTGCGGTCAATGGTGTGACGCGCACAATGTCTCCATCCGCTGTAGGCGGTGAGAGGTTGAACCAGCCTTAGATCACAGGCAGGGGATAAAAACGGTGACCAGTTACGAGTTGTCAGTAGTTCGGTTTACTCTCGTCAGACACGTAATGAAAAAATTAGAAGAAAGAAACATGATGAGGGTGGAGACTAATCAACGACAGGTCTCCTGTGGGCACAGAACCGGGGTTGAATGTTTTGGCCAGCAAGGCCCGTATAGCCAACAATTAGGTTGGCTGTACCACGAATCAATGATTCCCCCAAAACATGTTGACAAACACACATTCAAAGCAATGTTCGTCACGAGCAGACTGGACCTTACCGTAGTGTGAGAGTTTGTGTACCTCTGTAACACACCGATCTATATTGCAGGGGTGTTCGTGCGACATTTACAGAGTTCCTCTCACCAACTTGGTCTTATCATCGCGGTCTCCTCAAGGTTAGGAGGTTGAAATATGTGTGTCGAATTGTCGCGTCAAAATAGTAATGTATTTGCACTCACCGCCAGACAGCTGCGACATGCAGTCAGGCTTTCGAGGAAATGACTTCGGTTGGAGACTCTAAATGTCCTCCTGTCTAGGTGTGAGCAGGTGGGACTTCCGTAAAAAGACAAACTGGTGTGCAAATGAGTGAGTGTATTTAACTAATTTCGTGCAATTGGATATGTAGAGGTCACTCATCAAGTGCACCTGACTATTGTATTCATCACATTGATAAAAATAAATGCAATGCGAAAAGTGGAATAAGCCAAAAAGTGACTTGTCGTTTGAGGACACTTGTTGGGAGTTCCTGAGTGGAGTTTGGGACGCGGGACGTGCCTTCTCTGCAGCATACCTGAGTGGAGTTTGGGACGCGGGACGTGCAGCATGGCTGCTATTCGTGCTCTGTAGTTGTCCGTGGAGACTTGCGGATCTCTGTTGACTTCCTGTGCTGTGCGCGCGAGTGTGTGTTGGACCTAGTTGTATGCCTATTTATTGTGTGCAGTGTGAAGAGACGAGTGTCCCTTCGTGTTTGATACCTGCAAGAACATGAATACAACTTGATCTGATGTGTTGAAGTTCATAAGCCTGGCGCGTTACGCCAGTGGTAGCCGCGTAAGCAAGGATGGATGGAAATTTGTGGTGTACAAGGGCTAAGCTAAGGTTGCAAGTGGGACAGGAACTGTCATGTGGTTTGAGGGATTATGATGCGTGATTTGATGAGTGACCTCTAAAGATTTCAATAAGAACGCTTGGTTGATGGATACTCTTGGGCTGCGCCCACCAAAAGAGCTCCATAAAGGACAAAACCCGTCATGGCTCGTTGAAAAGTTTTCAACAAAGTAGTGTTTTACGTCCGCAGCGTAGAACTGCCCAGTCAAATCAGGGTTTGAGATCTGGTACACTGCTCATCAGATTTAATCAAGCTTTGTCTTCAACCCATATGTATGTGTGTATGTGGCTAAACTTCTCATATGTGATTCACCATTGACAACATGTGTCATTTAGAAAACTCACGATTTCCAAAATGGTTGCCTGTCATGTGTATTCGCGTCTTCGTTCGTTATTACAAAAGTAGACATTCGGCTATCGTATAGACGCAGGGCGGCGTGAGTTCATAAAATGTCATTTGATCACCTAGTGAACTCCCAATCGTTTCCGGACTCACAGAACATCCGTAAAAAGTCATCAAAAAGTCAGAGCACAATTCAAGGGAAACAAATAAAGCAAAAAGTTGGCTATAGCTGAGACATTCTCATCGTCGGCGTCAAATTTTGGGGAAGTTAGTTAGTTTCCAATGAGGCTGAGTTTGTTTTATCAAATTCTTGCGACCAAACCTCCTTAGTATTTTCGCACTTCAACATAATCGAGGTTTCTGATGCGTTGAATTTAGCTCTGTTCTCTGAAGTGGCTTTCAGTTTGTGCACAAAGCTGGATACCATTCGAACGAGGCACGTTTGCGAATGCAGTTTGCTGGATCTACAGCCTGCTTGAAGTTTGACAGGTAGACGGCTAGCGATCTATTCATACACCTAATCGCAACTTGTGACACTTACTATAGTAGGCCATAAATAAATGAAGCAGCCTAAAGACTAAGTTGAGCAGCATATGCTTGACTCACTTTCATGGGGGATGAAATCTTCAGGTAAGTCTTCCGCATCTGTAATGAAATTCAACGCTCAGTGAGAATAAGATAGAATCGCTTTGTGTTCTTGCCGGTTAGTCATATTCCTCAATGAAATATATATGGCCTAGTTGAACATACTCAGTAGCTTGCTGGACCGAAAATAACCAGACTCTCAAATGCTGTCAACTCACACACACCGGGTTCATCCTTCAGGGTCACCGCCAACCCCATTTGGATGGATAATCTCGGGCACACAGAGACACCTCACTCGTTGTTCACAAGACACAACACAGATTAAGCAAATTCTTCGGGGAAATACACCTTTGTTGCGTCGGCATTCCTTCACTCCGAGACAATCAANATCAAGCAAAGAACCCCTTCCGGTTCCAACAACTGAGTAGGAATTCCGGCCACTGCAAGTGGTAAAATCCGTTTAACTCTACTGCATTAGCCTACGTTTCCCACACGCAAGGGTTAGGGATTCTTGTCTCTTTATTCTACTAAAGACGAGAATGGATAGCTCTCAACTGGCAATGTTGAAATTAAGGGCAATAACTCAGTCAGCAAGGCCATGGGGAACACTATTCCGTTAGTGTATAAACAGTTACGAAATCAAGATAGCCAGCCAGTTCAACATTTTGAATCTAAACCAATTCATACTCGATTGCGCAGAATCTAACACGGTCGAAGTGCAAAATAAGAAAAGGAAATGATTTATATTAGCCGGTAATTTTGACAAATCCACAATGTTTTTTGGCTGGTATCCTTGAGGAAATGGACGCTTCAGGGATTTACTCATAGAATCCTCATCACCAGATTTGTTCATAATTCCAAGAGTTGTAATGTGCGAATCTGCTCATCAAGTAAATGGAAACTTCCCGGTGAAAACGCATGCCATTCAAATTTGAACAATGAGTAACAACCTCAGGTCACCACGCTCAAACTCAAACTAAAAACAACCAGCCGGTTTAGATAGTCAGGAGCAAAATTTCAGCCAGATATCTCTATGAACGGTATTTCGTCCCGCGGTCAGTTTGTTGAACTTGTTTGGATCAACCACCGCATTTATATCTCGAAAATTTTCAATATCCTTGACTTCCTAATACCTAAAAGCGCAAAGATCGAGTTTGAAATCCGGAATAGTTTTTCTGCCTGTCGAGTGTGCGTCTCAATCAACCGATGCTATCGGACCGTTTCCTACATCTAGGCACAGAACTGTTGATCCACATCACTTCAACTCTCGGCTCTGGCAGAATCCGCCGACAACGAAATCAGCCCAGTCACAGCTGGTCATCATGATAGCTCGGAATCGAAGCGTTGTCTAGTCACTCGAGTCCGGGGAGGTGTGCACCTGAGATCGTTTCAAAGCCAAATTGAAACGCGGGATTGGTACCACGACAACTGATACCGTGCCAATTCTGCACTGCCTGGGAGAAAGAACGAGGACCACTGCTAATTGTTCCATCTCGTATTATTTAAAGGCATCGATACAAGAGTGGGCCAAGTTCGGAGACTGATCGAGGATCACTGGTGACGTTAGATCGGTCAGCAGTTGGTTACTTATCAACTTTATCTGTAGTTGCAGCCTGTCGGGTACGTATCCCAATCCAAGGCCGATAAAGAGAACCGGACCGATTAATCAGCGAAACCGAGCCCTCACTGACCAACGAAGGAAAACAGGTTTTGTGGATGGAGACAATTTGCAGTATTAATTGATATAATAAGAGCACAGATGGGCTGACGAACGTGTTTTCGGCAAGGTCTTTTCAAGTCATACAACCGCAAAGGTTAAGGTAACAGTATTTAACATATTTGAATGAGTATGGCGTAATGAACAGGAAATCGAGTGAGAGGTGACTTTGGCTACCTTTCAGAGAACAATTAGTTCAACTCACCAATAGGATGACTCGAGCTTATCAGCGCAGGTAGTGCTGTAGTTGTGTGTTTAGCACCGGGTGTATTGTAGTTGTGTTCAACACAAGGTCTATGTGTGAGGGGAGGTGAGTTGGACAATGGTAAGCACAACACACGAACAAAGCGTTTTGCCGACATCGGTTCGGCTCGCGGTGTCGTATGGCGATAACTTTGGCCACTGCAATTGTGTGTTGCTCTACTGATCTGGGTTGATTAGCCGACGCCTTGTAAACCACGCGGAAGCTTTGGCTGGGTATCACGTTGTGTGCAGTGTCAGCTAAATGTTGTACTACCGAACTGGTTATCGTCCTCCTAGTTCCAGAAGCTATCCAGCGTGGATCGTGTTCCTGCATTCTTTTGCCGAGTTGCCTAGTCGTACGTCCGAAGCATTCCGCTGCGCAGCAGCGAGAGAATGAGTATACTAACAGACACTCTATCCTGGAGATTAAAGGAGCACAGACGATTGCTGGTGAACCAGGCTCGGAGTGTTGCTGCCGGTTAACCTTTGGTCAAACTGGTAGAAAGTTTTCTGTCCAGTTGATCACCGGTATATCTCCCTCAAACGGGAGGCTAAAGTAAAAATGTTTTCCTCCAACTGTGGCGTTGTCGGTGTTGGATTCCTCCCTGTTCAAAAGCTTTGTAATAAAGTTGTCGGGGAATCCACTGTATCTCACGACGTTGGTGAGATTTCGGAGTTCATGTTCCAGCACGTTAGTTCGCTGTTTTACTAGAGCTATCGATCAGGTTCCGTTTCTGCTTTAGTGGCACAATCGTTTCAGTGTACCATCATGAGGTCGTTCAAGGCCAAAATCGAGGAAGTGAAACAAGTTGTCGGTTTCTCCCTTCCGAAGTGAATCGGATGGCGGTGCGAGTCTTATTGGACTTTTGTTGCAGCAACAACGTATGACTTGAAAAGGCCTTGCCGAAAACGTGTTCGTCAATCCATCTGTGTTTTTATTATAAATAGAAGTTTTCGGAATAATTGGCATAAAATGGCACACAAGAAATTAACGGGGATAAATTTGAAAAACGGCAGTCAAGCTCTCAGTGAAGAACAACATAAAAGATTGTTATAAATGACATGAAACTCGAGGATAGAACCAGCTGGATGGAACTTCGCCTTCGCATTATGTCCACGGTTCGTCCACGCTTTTGGCTACACTATATGAGTACATACATGGAGTTGAATTCACAGTTTGAATTCTGCAAACTATAAGAGAAGATTGACCTGATGAAAACTGAACCCCTGGTAAAGAAGTACATTGTGTGAGATACGCAACTGGAGGTCGGAGACAAACAAACCTTCTCTTTGAAGAAATAAAACTTTGGCAGATCGCTGCAGATTGTAGTACACCGACCTCCATTATCACTGGCTTCAGTAGAATGGCGAAGTTTATTGGCGCGGCGTAGCTGATCTGCTCCACTGGCTTTGTTCGCATTTGGCGCTACCTAACAGGCAACTCCAGGAACACAAGTTAAACGATCATGAAAAAATTAACCACGTTACTAGTGCACGTTTGCTGCTCCACTGGCTTTGTTCGCATTTGGCGCCACCTAACAGGCAACTCCAGAAACACAAGTTAAACGATCATGAAAAAAATTAACCACGTTACTAGAGCACGTTTGTATGTTCATAATGGAAAATCCAAATGCTTTTAGCGAGCGTTTGTGGAGTAGTTGTAACACGCTCACCGCACGTCGATCGGCCGGAGTTCGGGCCCCCGGGGAATCGCACTTCTGATTAGTCGTCACGGGAGCGAAAATTGAGTTCACTTCTTGTGTCTTCTGGTTAAGACCCGTCCGAATATGCGTGATGGATTACGATTAAAGGAGAGAGATGTTTGTGGACATATCGATTGTTTGGAGTTAAGTACGATAATTTACTGAGATCCATGAATGCAAGAATAACCCGTTCTGATTCGCAAATGGCAAGCGGAGCGTACATTGTTTGTGATGATACCCTGCGTAACTGGCGCCCGAAAGAAGGCACACTAGAGGACATTGTGAATCTTTTAACCCGGTGGGGCTTTGTGGACTTGTCTGTCAATCCTGTCGAAAGTGAATTTCCTGTAGAGTTCACCGCATCGAATTGCGAGCCACAAGAAAGGCACAAATTTGAAATTCATACAACAGACCGAGTCGTACTACCTAGGAAAAAAATAGTAGAATTCAAAGTTTTCGGGCCGACAGAGAAGAACACTGACGCAAAGTCTATACGAGCGAGTATCATACTCCTATCATGATACCTGATTCACTCACACATGACAGGCATACAGAAGGACGTCACTCAATATGAATTGAACTGCACTCACCGAAACCATTTCCATCGACCACAAGACAACTTTCGTCCCCGCCGTTGATTTGGCGAATTATATACCATTCTAGGAAGCTATCAGCCAAAGTGCCTTTATATTCTTCCGGAACTAGGTCGAAGTCCAGTTCCACGTCGAATGTGATATTACTGTAGTCGGGCGAGTACTTGTGTGAGCACTCGGATAGCAGACCGCGCTCCCAAGCTCCGGGAGATCGATTTCGTAACTGGTTCGTGAAAAATGGAATATTTTGAATGGATCATATCAGATTTGCAATCGTGATCTACGTTTGCATCAATGTTAGTAGGGTCAGATTCCAGAACAAACGAAACCTACTGGGATAACGAAATTCCATTAAAATTCTATCCAAGAGCCTGCATCGAGGTCACACAGTGTCCTTCACATTGGCGCGGGGCCATCTTACCTTTCACACCTGCTTGCTTGCAATACAGCTGTGGTGATCCATGTTGGCTTGTCTGCTTTCCAGATGTGGGCGGACAGAATTTCGACATGACAGATTGGCGACGATATATATATATATATATATGTATATATATATAGTCTTTTCGCTGTTAGATTCATGATTTCACTTGGTGCAGCACAACACCCACCAACACGCCTGCCATTCACCATCGAACTTGGTTAGTTTGACGGAGAGCTGTAGCACCTTTTTGGTGCCTAGCTGCCGTGCCACACGAAGAAGACGCGAGGGTTGCCAGGCTGCCAGGCTGCCCGAGCGTAGACAGGGGAAGTCCACAGCCAGGGGTCGAGTTCGAACCATGGACCTTCCGGTCAGAAACCACTAACCATTTGGGCTAACTCGCCCCCTTTTTTCGGTCCTCACTCAGACCTGTTAGACACATTCCTAGGGAGGAACATATTCACTACCCAGAGATTCACTGTGGCGTTGTCTGGCGAATGGGCATCTGAATTACATAAGTCCCGCCCCATACAAAGATACACCATCATTTCGCATTTGTGTGAATTCATCCTATTTGCCTGCATTCGTTTGCATGACATCTGTTATCTCTCAACGAAATTCGCTTGTTATGCGGTGGTATTTCTGTTGGGTTCTCTGTTCCGTTTGCCATTCTTTTTGCATTGCGGTCTGTGTTTGCTTGAGTAGACTGGCCATCCAAATATCTTTCATCTTTAGAGTAATTCACCCACCTACCCTGTTTGTTTGACTCCGCCCTCGTTTTGGATTGCACTGTGGTGTATCGACCGCAGTTGGCGGTAATTAGTTACCTTGGTTCGCTTTTCGAATCAAATTGCCGTACACCTTCGATTCGAACTCTCCCGCTTCTTTCATGACTTCTGGTTTTCTCTGGCTTTCAGTGGTCAACCGATAGAAGCAAGTTTGATACGTGTGTTGATGGCTTCTTCAGCAGAGTACCACGCTCCCATTACTTCACGTTTTTACTTCATTCTCGCTTGAGCAAATACGGAACGCCACTTCAGTCGAAGCCTAGTCCTTCGTGGTCTTTGTGCACCGAGATGGGAGAAAATCGATCTCGTCTTTTTGTAGCGAGATTGCGTTTAGGTACTCTCGTGGTATGCTTCCCTCCCCGTTCTCCTTATAGGGATCGATTGTCACAGTCCTCGCATTAGATTGATTTTTTCTCACGGTTTCGATAGTGCTTCCCACAGATGCTCGCGGGCTTCAAAGTGACCGCCAAATTGTGTTGTCTTGAGAGCTTTGCGGTGCTCTCGTTTCCATTCGTCGTGCACGGGTTCCCGAATGATCACATGAAGATATTCTTTAGTAATTCATTCATCTTTCAATGGTGAAGAGGCGTTTGAAATTCAGTTACCAAGCTCGGAGGACAGATTGACACGTGACGTGACCTTAACCGGAACTACCAATGTAACGGTGATACTACTGATGTGGAGGCACGCGAGTAGCATGTGTTGTTCTTGGAATTTCGCTTCGTGTCTTTTGAAAAGGGAGATCTGTTGCGAAATTTGTGGAGTCGCTTTGTAAAATTTGCTTGGATTTGAGCGAGGAATGAGTGTAGTCAATGAATATCCAGGAAAGTTCAAGAAGACGCATTCGGGAGAAGATGGATATTCAGTTGGTGTAAATAGGTTGCAAATTAGAGTTTTGCTTCCCTGTGCAATGGTCTGTAACCGGTCAGTTGGAAGTCCCAATAAATAACTCCGCAGCAAAGGCTTTCTTCTTTTCACCAGTATTTCGACACCTTGCAAACCCGCAATCCTGTTGCCTCGTCAGTAACTCTTCAACTAATCGCACGCACTTTCAATAGACACAGAAGATAAATAGTTCCAACCTACCAATAGCTGTCAATTAGCAACTGAGACATAATCCCGCGGTTCAGCTTGTCCCTAAATGTCACAAAAACAAANTCCCGCCCCATACAAAGATACACCATCATTTCGCATTTGTGTGAATTCATCCTATTTGCCTGCATTCGTTTGCATGACATCTGTTATCTCTCAACGAAATTCGCTTGTTATGCGGTGGTATTTCTGTTGGGTTCTCTGTTCCGTTTGCCATTCTTTTTGCATTGCGGTCTGTGTTTGCTTGAGTAGACTGGCCATCCAAATATCTTTCATCTTTAGAGTAATTCACCCACCTACCCTGTTTGTTTGACTCCGCCCTCGTTTTGGATTGCACTGTGGTGTATCGACCGCAGTTGGCGGTAATTAGTTACCTTGGTTCGCTTTTCGAATCAAATTGCCGTACACCTTCGATTCGAACTCTCCCGCTTCTTTCATGACTTCTGGTTTTCTCTGGCTTTCAGTGGTCAACCGATAGAAGCAAGTTTGATACGTGTGTTGATGGCTTCTTCAGCAGAGTACCACGCTCCCATTACTTCACGTTTTTACTTCATTCTCGCTTGAGCAAATACGGAACGCCACTTCAGTCGAAGCCTAGTCCTTCGTGGTCTTTGTGCACCGAGATGGGAGAAAATCGATCTCGTCTTTTTGTAGCGAGATTGCGTTTAGGTACTCTCGTGGTATGCTTCCCTCCCCGTTCTCCTTATAGGGATCGATTGTCACAGTCCTCGCATTAGATTGATTTTTTCTCACGGTTTCGATAGTGCTTCCCACAGATGCTCGCGGGCTTCAAAGTGACCGCCAAATTGTGTTGTCTTGAGAGCTTTGCGGTGCTCTCGTTTCCATTCGTCGTGCACGGGTTCCCGAATGATCACATGAAGATATTCTTTAGTAATTCATTCATCTTTCAATGGTGAAGAGGCGTTTGAAATTCAGTTACCAAGCTCGGAGGACAGATTGACATCTAACGTGACCTTAACCGGAACTACCAATGTAACGGTGATACTACTGATGTGGAGGCACGCGAGTAGCATGTGTTGTTCTTGGAATTTCGCTTCGTGTCTTTTGAAAAGGGAGATCTGTTGCGAAATTTGTGGAGTCGCTTTGTAAAATTTGCTTGGATTTGAGCGAGGAATGAGTGTAGTCAATGAATATCCAGGAAAGTTCAAGAAGACGCATTCGGGAGAAGATGGATATTCAGTTGGTGTAAATAGGTTGCAAATTAGAGTTTTGCTTCCCTGTGCAATGGTCTGTAACCGGTCAGTTGGAAATCCCAATAAATAACTCCGCAGCAAAGGCTTTCTTCTTTTCACCAGTATTTCGACACCTTGCAAACCCGCAATCCTGTTGCCTCGTCAGTAACTCTTCAACTAATCGCACGCACTTTCAATAGACACAGAAGATAAATAGTTCCAACCTACCAATAGCTGTCAATTAGCAACTGAGACATAATCCCGCGGTTCAGCTTGTCCCTAAATGTCACAAAAACAAACGAGATAATGCGTGGGGCTCGAAGAGAACTGGGAAATATCAATCTAATCTGTAATTTACTGAATATCACTTACCACATCGCATGGGGGTGTACCAATCTGAGGACCGTATAGATCCATGTTCCCCATGGAAATTTCTGTTGGTGAAAAATCCGTTTATTAGACAGTAGAATTTTGGCCAAATTTGAGGGAATAAACCAGTATTCGATCAACCAGTTTGTAAGACCGAAAGTGAGCGTGGTCTCGTGAAGGATTCTAACACAGGGATACTCGCGTCAGCTGCTAGTTTCGAAGACGTTGCAGTACAGCGGGTATCCAGAACGGCTCTTTGAAGTTGTACTATTTTAGTGCAAAAACTGGCGTATATCATTGGTATATAACGCCGCCACAAACCACCGCTAGCTCGAAGTGTTCTGTTTTTCGATACCATTCACACAAAGATCAGTTGATGTTGCCACGCCGCATCCTAGCCTGCTTCGCACACTAGGGAAATTTCTCACTGCCAAAAACACTTAATCCGTCCTCAGAGGATAGCATTGATGAGGTTATCGAAATTCATTGAAGAGCGAATTTACTTTGTTTCTTGGACATACTGTCTCTTGAAATATTCTGTAGTCTGATTTCGCACTTTACTACTAAGTTGAACACGCCTCCAGATAAGTTTTGAGCCAAGGGGCAGTCGGAATGCAGTCTCGGTCAGTCGAAATGAAATTGGGGCCCGCCTGGTGAGCCGAACGGACGAAGGAATATTCTTTGAAATTAACAACAGGGTCACATCAAGGAAATTATTTTGATTTCTTGTCTATCCCATTGATCGGTGGATGAACTTTGTCCATCACACTCACTTTGAGTTTATTATGGCAAATATATTTCACTGGACTACCAGGAGACGGTAACTTTGACAAATACACTCATTTGCATACCAGTAAGAGTTTGAAGGAAACTCACCTGGAGCCCAGCTAAATCTCTCCATATAATCTCTGAAACGTCGTTGGTCACGTTCGTTTAGACTAGTTTGTTGGCCACAAGAAGGGGAGACAGATTCAGCTGGGTCCCGGGCGAGTCTCCTGTCAAAACCAAATTGGTATGCCAGTGCTTGTAGTTGTTGAAATCTCTCCAGCTTGGGTTCAAGCAGAGCCCATTTGCTTTGTACTGGACTACTCTTTAGTTCGAAGATGTGTCATTCTTTGGATGTCAGCAGTCTGAAGTAAAATACTCGGTTTGATTTGGATCACACACTGACTACACTGACGTTTCAACACTGGCTGGCTTATTTTCTCCCATTTTGCCGTGATGCTGCTTTGAAAGGCCAAGTTTGGAGGCTGGCTCAAATGCCTCCAGTAGTTCTTGAAGGTTACGGAATACATTTTTTTAGTAAAACGGCGGGAAACTGCCTTGTTCAATTGACACTTCTGGCTGAACGAACTTTTCAGGGGCATCTACACGATTAGAGAAAAAAATTATATTTAGCATTCAAGCGAAATTTTATAGGTTCGTGGCATTTCTTTTAGCCATTATGAACGTGACACAACGCTCTCTACTCTTCAGGTGTTGAGCGATCAACATGAGTTTAACTTTGACAACAGTTTGTTTATACCAATGTGTCCAATTATTGATGATGAGCAAGCATTACCGCAACCGCGAAGAACTCACCCATTTGTAAGCTTCGCCCTGA